CAAAAAGTCAGAAATACAAGAGTCACACATAGAAGAATTATTACAATATTCACAAATGGGAGTATCTATACATTTAGCAAAATCAAAAGAAAAATTTGTTTCTAAAAATTCAGAAAATTGTTCATCTATCAAATCATCAAATAAATCAATTTGGAAGACAGAATGTTCTTCAGATGGGTGCTTCATAGCATCAAGTATGTTGAAGCACACAATGCTGTCCCCAAACTCCATGGTAAGTGTCCCGGCATGCACATCAATTTTTGTTCTTGCGGTCTTCAAGAGTGGTCTTCCCAATATGATTGGTGCAACACTCTTCATTGACTCTCCTTCTTGCATGTCCAAAATGTAAAAGTCGGCTGGGAAGATGAGATCATTCACCCTGACTAGTACATCTTCAACAATCGCAGCTGGGTTTGTTATGCTTCTGTTGGCTAACTGAATAACCACACCTGTAGGCTGTAGAGGGCCAAGAGACAGTGAAGTAAAAATGGACAAAGGCATGACATTTATAGATGCGCCTAAATCTAGCATGGCATTCTCAATCCTATTATTACCAATAATGCATGGGATAGTGAATGTTCCAAGGTCCTTACATTTCTCAAGCATTATGGACCTTTGTTTTTCAAAAAGTGCAGAAACATTCCTACCCATATTTACCTTTTCATTACCCTTAAGACGCCTCTTGTGGGTGCATAAGTCTTTCAAAAACTTGGCATACTTAGGTATTTGCTTGATTGCATCTAGTAGCAACTAGAAGCCCTACCAATTTTTAATCCTGCAGAAAAATCAGTTAAAGAAGAGCTGAAAAAGGAAATCAAAGAAGATCAAAATCAGAAGTTAGAGTTCAAGCAACTACCTTCTAACTTGAGATATGTTTTCTTGGATGAGAAACACAAAAATTCATTTATCATCAACAATGAACTCAAGGAGGAAGAAGAGGAAAAGTTGTTGAGAATTCTGAGAAAACAAAATCTGCAATTGGCTGGAGTATTTCATATCTGAAAGGTATAAATCCTTCTTTTTATAAACATAGAATTCTATTTGAAGAGAAATTTAAGCCAGTTGTGTAGCCACAAAGAAGGTTGAACCCAGTCATGAAAGAAGTACTCAAGAAAGAGGTTATGAAGTTGCTAGATGCAGGGATCATTTATCCAATTTCTGACAGCCAATGGGTGAGTCCAGTCCAAGTTGTCCCTAAGAAAGGAGGGATGGCAGTTGTACCTAATGAGAAGAATGAACTCATACCTACTAGGACTGTCACTGGCTGGTGCATGTGTATTGACTATAGGAAGTTAAATGATGCAACTAGAAAGGACCATTTTCCACTACCATTTGTTGATCAAATGTTGGAAAGACTTGCTGGACATGCATTCTATTGTTTCCATGATGGATATTCAGGATACAACCAAATAGCAGTGGATCATGTGGATCAAGAAAAGACTGCTTTTACATGTCCATTTGGAGTCTTTGCATATAGAAGAATGTCTTTTGGATTATGCAATGCTCCTACCATTTTTCAAAGGTGCATGCTTTCCATTTTTTCTAATTTGGTAGAGAAAATTATAGAGGTGTTTATGGATTACTTCTCTATTTTTGGTAATTCATTTGATGATTGCTTAGCTAATTTATCCATTGGTTTGCAGAGATGTCAAGATACTAACCTTGTGTTGAATTGGGAGAAATGTCATTTCATGGTCCAAGAAGGCATTGTTCTTAGCCATAAGATTTCAGAAAAAGGAATGGAGTTGGACCAAGTAAAAGTAGAAGTTATTAGTAAACTACCTCCACCAATTAATGTTAAAGGAATTAGGAGTTTTTTTAGGACATGCTGGTTTTTATAGGAGGTTTATCAAGGACTTTTCAAAAATTGCAAAACCTCTTAGTGATTTACTTGTAAAAGATGCTGATTTCATATTTGATGATGTTTGTTTGCATGCATTTTCTATTTTGAAAGAAAAACTTATTTCTCCACCTATTCTTGCAAAACCTGATTGGAATTTACCTTTTGAACTAATGTGTGATGCAAGTGATAGTGCAATGGGTGCTGTTTTAGGACAGAAAAAGGATAGGAAATTGCATGTCATTTATTATTCCAGCAAAGTTTTAAATCCTGCACAAGTAAACTACACAACCATAGAAAAAGAACTCCTAGCTATTGTGTTCTCCTTTGACAAATTCAGATCATATTTGATGGGATCAAAAGTTATTGTATATACTGACCATTATGCACTTAAATACTTGTTGTCAAAGCAGGATACCAAGCCAAGACTGCTGAGATGGATTCTATTGCTGCAGGATTTTGAATTGAAAATTAGAGATAAAAAGGGAAAGGAAAATGGGGTAGCTGACCACCTGATTAGACTTCCATTGGAAAGTCTAATGTTACACTCTTCTATTGCAACACTTAAATGGTGTAATTTCACTACTAGCAAGTATACTAGGTAGTTGTAGCAAGTTATAAAATATGGAAATCAGATTGAGTCCCCAGTATCGTCCTCTAGGATCTTATTTTTAATCACCAATTCACAAAATAATAACCATTTGCACCAAACAATTCATTGAACAGATTTCAATATGCAAGAAAGTAAAATTCAAAATTAAGGAAATGAGAAATTGTTAAAAACAGAATGTTAACTTGTACTATTAGAATGAATCACGAATGAAGGAAAGTTAGGAATTTATTTCACTAGAATATCAATATCAATTCAGTTCTGCCTCTAAACATTCAAGCATTTGATTGATTGACAATTGGTTTCTCTTTACAATAACCAAAGATTGATTCCTCAACTCATTGGTCCTAATATTCAACCAAATCTCCCTAATTCCTTAGGTCAAATTCAGTTCAATATTGCATTATGAATTAGAACCAAAAGATTGCAAAACTAAGACCACTTATCCCTAAGAAAATCAATAGTTTTGGTGATTAATTCAGATCCAAGCAACAAACCCAATTTCCATTAGTGAAGGTTACTCTTTGATTAATCAATTGAATTTCCATTCAAAGATCAAGTAAACACAGAATTAATCCCTCAATCAAATCAAATACTCAAAGTTCAGAATCAAAACGATATCAATATATCAATTCTAGATCCATAAATCCCTAACAAAAGAGTTAGAAACACATTACAATGAAATGGAGAGAAGCAAAAAGAAAAGAAGATAAAAAGTAGAGAGCCATCTCAATAACTTTGCCTTCCCCCAGATTCCTCTAGCAAAGAAGAACAAAAGTCGCTCCTCTCTTCTCCCTCTGACATCCCTTGGAAGTTAAAACGGTTACAAAAATGAATACTAAAACAAAGAAATGACAAAACACCCAAATTCTAACTTCCTAATTCCTATTTATAGAGCTCCTCTAATTCTTCGACTTAACCCTTGAAATTCTGATAGTTAATTGTTCCCAGGTGTTCTGCAATCTTCTAAAAGTGATACAGAAGCTTCAAACGTCCAGAATTGGCAAGAAGAAGAAGTTATAAAGTTGAAGAATTCTGTGCCAAAACGTACAGTGGCTGGAGTAAAGGCGGGCGGATGTGCGCCTTGGCTGCATGTAATTTGCATTTCCACGCGCTCAGCGCTAAGACTGCATCTGCTCTGCGTTGCCACGCGTAAAGTTCCAGTCTAGACTTTACTTGGATGCTCAGTTTTGCGTTGCCACGCCCTGCACTATGAGTTGCAACTTGCTCTTACGCGCCAAGGCTTCAAGTGATGTGCGTTTCAACGCAATGGCAGTTATCCAGGTTCAGTTGCTAGAGTGTTAATGTCCATCACTCAGAGTAGCCACGTAGACCCAGTGCTGTATTTTGTTCTTTCCATGCTCTAACGCCAATTACTTGGAGTTGTAACACCCAGCTCTTAGGATTTCTTGAAGCTTGATTCTTTGACTATTCTTATTCAATTTCAGCTTCTAATCCTTCCTTTAAGCACTTTCAACAACTTTTCATCTTTTTATATGAACTCCTACAAAAATTTAAACAATTTTTAATATTTCAACAAAACAACAATTTATACTAATTATATTATTTTTGTGATCTTTAAAAGTTTATTTTAGAACTATTTTCCTAATTATTAACCAAAAACTATGCTAAAAACATGGTAAAATATGGATTTATCATCTAACCCCTAATTCCTTAGAAATCAATGAAGAATTTCCATATGAAAGGCTTCTTGCAGTGGAAGATATGCCTTAGTTTACTGATATGGTAAATTTTAAAGCTACCCAATTCATCCCAAAGATGTTCACTTGGCAGCAAAAGAAGAAGTTCTTACATGACAGCAAATTCTAGGTGTGGGAAGACCCTTATTTGTTCAAGATTGGGATAGATGTTTTAATTAGGAGGTGCATTCCACAAAGTGAGCAAGCTGGGATACTATGGCATTGCCACAACTAAGAATATGGAGGCCACCATGCAAGTTCAAGGACTGTTGCAAAAGTACTGCAAGCAGGTTTCTTTTGGCCTACACTCTTCAAGGATGCTAAGAAGTATGTTGAAAGTTGTGATAAATGTCAAAGAACAGGCAACATCTCTAGAAGGCATGAGCTACTATTGACAAACATTTTAGAAGTGAAGTTATTTAGTGTATGGGAGATTGACTTACCTTTTCCCCCATCATTTTCGCATGAATACATCTTAGTGGTAGTGGATTATGTGTCCAAATGGGTGGAAGCCATTCCCACAAGATCAAATGATGCCAAGGTAGTGATATCCTTTATAGAAAAAAAGAATTTTTGCAAGGTTTGGAGTACCCAGATTTTGGATAAGTGATGGAGGTACTCACTTTTGCAACAAATATCTTGAAGCAGTATTAATAAAATATGGTGTGAAGCACAAGGTTGCTACTCCATATCATCCACAAACAAGTGGACAAGTGGACAAGTGGAAGTGTCAAATAGGGAAATCAAGCAGATTTTGGAGAAAGTAGTGAATAATGCAAGGAAAGATTAGTCAAAGAAGCTAGATGACTCTCTATGGGCATACAAGACTGCTTTTAAAACTCCAATTGGTATGTCACCATATCAATTAGTCTTTAGAAAGGCATGTTACCTACCTTTGGAGTTAGAGCACAGAGCTTATTGGACAACAAAGTGGCTGAACTTTGATTTACCAAGTGCTGGAAAGAAGAGAATTCTGCAATTACATGAATTGGAGGAGTTTAGACAGCAAGTCTATGAGAATGCAAAGTTGTATAAAGAGATAACCAAGATAATTCATGACAAATTCATTCTGCAAAGAGAATTCAGTTCTGGCCAGCAAGTGCTGTTATTCAATTCTAGGCTAAAACTATTTCTTGGTAAATTGAGATCAAGATGGTCTGGGCCTTTTCTGATAAAAGAAACATCTCCCTTTGGAGCAATTCTGATAAAGGATCAAAAGACAAGGAGAGAATTCAAGGTTAATGGTCAGAGATTGAAGGTCTATCATGGAGAGGAGTTTACAAGGAATATCTCTTGCATGAAAGTGGTTTCTCTTGAGTGAGGAACATTTAACGTCAAGCTAGTGACGTTAAAGAAGCGCTTTGTAAGAGGCAACTCACATTTCTAACCCATTTTAAGCTTTCTGTATTGTTTTAGAATTCTGCATATTCATGTCTTACAATTCTCTGCAAAGTTCTGCTACATCTGATCTTCTGAATTAAATATCATAATTGATTAGAAATTTGAGGTTGTGAAAAGTAAATTGAAGGATTAGAGTGTGAGAAGTGAGTTAATTGAGGTTTTAGAGGCCTTTGATTAATAAAATGAGTCATTATTTTGCAGGAAAGAAGCTACGCAGAAAATGCATTTTGAGGATCTTTGCTAGAACAATCACTCTTACTGATAAAAGTAATCACGCAGAGGCATCAAGGTAAATACGCTCCTCTGGAACACTCACTCTCACTGATGAGAGTGATCACGTAGAGGCAGATGGAAAACATACTCTCTAGAACGCTCACTTTCCCTGGCAAAAGTGGTTTACACACAGGTAAGTATGAGTTCTCTTATGTGCGTTACTCCTTTTTGTGAAAAAAGTTGCAACATTGCTTGCACGTTATCACCTTGCCCAGCAATAGTGATAACGCGTCCTTCACCCAGAAAACTTAACTCTCTGGAACGCTCACTCTAATCAGATAAAGTAACCACGCTGAGTGTCTTAAATGCTGTAACGTCACTTTTCTTGTTTAAAGTGGTCATGTGCCCACGCGTGACTATAAATATAAACTAAAGTGAACACGCCTACACCTTTGCACCTAAAAATTCCTCTTCTCTCTTAGCGTTCTTTGCGATTTTACTCCTTGCGTACATCGACCTAGCAGTAGCAAGATTTTTCCCTATATTTCTACATCCTTTCACTAGGTACACAACTCTCTTCTCTCTGAAATAGTGGATTAGGGTTTTCTGTGTTAATGTTTTGGAGAAAATGAAAAAGGGGGTAGTAGGAAATTGTTTTGAGGTTATTTGCTGATAATGAGTGAGTGCATAAATGTGTTGAAAATTAGTTTAAACCTGAACTTAGCTCTCTGCATTACCATATTTTTCTAAGAAAGTGTGCACTCTGAACTTACAAATTAGGGATATCAATTTAAAAATTTTCTAAATATCGTTGATTAATTCTGTGCATCTATGCTTTTATATCTGAATATTGACATACCCTGTTCTGCTAAAGTAGTTGTTATGCTGAAATTACAGAGTTTGTTGGAAAATAGATTGATAACCTGTAATAATCCCTCTACGTTAACCTAATATGCTCTGAGAATGTACACTCTGAACTCATATATTAGGATTTAACATGCTTTCACTGTGAATGCTTAATATTGTTCAGTTGTGCTTTTGTATCTGTATGATTAATTTTGCCTAACAGTAGACTGCATGATTATATTGTTAGAAAAATTGAATTTCTGCAAATTGCTTGATTGAACTTTCTTTAGTACAGAGATCTATCCTTTCACCATTATGTGTTACAAATTTAAACTGTCAAATTACTTTCTTTTTGTAGAAACTGAAAAATGGCCAAAAATTCTTTGAACACACCAGTTGGCTCTTCCAGGAAAACTCAGGCTGGATCTTCCAGCAACACTCCAAAGAGGAGATCCAACAAGAACATCCAAGCTGGATCCACCAAAAACACTCCTAGGTCAAAGAAGGCCAGAAATGATGGTGCCTCAGCTTCCTCACCAATTGAAGTATGTGATCCAAGGTTCAGAAGTATTGCCCATGAGAATTTCTTCAAGGCAAATATTATGAGGAGAAAGATTATTCCAGGCAGAGCTTTTGAAATAGTTAGGGACAATTACCCAGAATACAAGGAAGAAATTCAAAAGAGGGATTGGGAATCCTTCTGCTCCCTAGCTGGAATGGGTTAGAGGGAAATAACCCAGGAGTTTTATACCAATGCTGTGAGGTTCAAAGGAGACAAATTCCCTAAGTTCAACACAATGGTAAATGGGAATGTGTTATGCTTAATATTGGTCAGAAAATGGGAATGACCAAAGATGAAATGTATCACACTCCAGACTTGGCAGAGAATGCCCAGTGCCTTCGCTCCTCAGTTTTCAAAGATCTGCCAATCTACAAAACCCATTTTCCACAGCCAGCTGAAGAGGTAGTGAAGGAGGAAGATGAGGAAGAAGAAGAAACTTTAGAGGATGAGGATGCAATAGACGAATAGAATTAGGATTTTTAATTCTGTTTGTTTTTAATTTCAGTTTATGTAAATTTTAACAATTAGGATTTTTGTTTCTGTAAATGCAGTAGTTGTTCAGAACAATTTTAACACTTTTCAGTTGTAATGAAGTTTAGTTTCTTTTAAACATGCATACACTTATTTACGAAACACACTAGGACTCCCCCCTAGATTCATTTTAAATGCAGCAATCAAGTTAATAGACTTTATGGTGTCATTGAAATCATGATTTATCTCCTTTCAGCTTAACAGTATATTCAGAGCATCTAAAACCAAAATAAAATGGAATCCAACGGATATTTAATCCTTTTACAGATTATTAGCAAACAATCAAATGTAAGTAATCTAATTTGCATTTTATAGTAAGGAATTCCTTCCACGTCATATAACCCACTTGGTTCATGCATGCATATAGCAATTTATAGTCTTCAGTTACAGAGCATGTTCCTACTCTTCATTTAATTACCAGGTGACAAAAGAAATCACACACTAGCAAATATTGTGAGGAAATCTCACTATTTTGAAATGAAATCTCAAGTCCAAACATAGAGAATTTACCTATTGTGCCAATAATATACTCGTGGTCATCCAATTCAAGTCAGAATAATTGCATGCAAGAAGGGAAGATGAATAAAGGTGCAGACTTTTCCACATGCAGTGATTTTCACATTATGGCTGTGTTCTTTGGAAAAATTTAAGTCCTGTATTACTTAATAAACTATTTTAATATGATAGACATTCAGAAAATACACATGCAGTCTATCAGATTACACTCAGGATTCAACAGAACCAAGGTAACCCCCAAAAATGTAGACATTCACACGTGAACTTACAAAATACACTAGGACTCTCCCCTACTGTGGTTTATCTGCGTATTAAGAAAGGATGAAGGTGCAAGGATTTCTTCAAGTAGCAGAGTTTTAACTGGAAAAAAATAGCAGTTCGTGAGTTGGTCATCAACGAACAAGGAGTTTAGAGTGAGTGAAGTACCTTTACGCAATTGGAATTTGAGAATAGTAGCTTCAGTCTCACAGTATTCTCATTCTCCCTCTACAAGGTGGTAATGAAAGGAAAATGGTACGTGCTAAGCTAAGTACCTATTTTATATTTGTGCCCTTTATATTTTGAAATCTATCCAATTTGCTGGTAACTTCCTTCTTTCCTTTCCAATTGAAATGTCACTTTTCATGACAATTCAGGTTAAGCAGGTGCCACCTAATCGAAGCATTTAATGCAGTTGCATCTGTCTCTCTCCTTCCACTATAGCCTTTGAATTTAATGATCCTCTCTAATAAGTTAACTTGGCCCCGTATGACCCTCAGCCCAACTTCTGTCCAGCATGGTTTATTCGTTAAATAATCTAGTCATGGAAGAGTTTATGAATGGGAAAATCTAACGCAGGCCAGCTAATGTGAAAGATTTGTATAAAATTTACACCTTATCTAATATATTGCGTAGAGGCCATGCATAATTTATTCTGCAATTTTAGGTGTGAAATTTCAGGATGGCACCAAGGGTCCTTGGCTAGGGAATAAATAAAAATAAAATAAAATTAAGAGGGAAGATTACATACAAGATCAAGACAAGCTCATCGTCCGAGGAGAGATGAGAGAAGGGTCCAACATTCATATTAAGTACATAACCAAGGCATAAAATATATTACTAAATACCTTCACAATATACTTAGCAATTGAATAATTGTTGCAGCAAAATGGTCTAATTCTGAGTATACTAAGATATAATAGAAATAAGAAATAATAATGGTAACAATTTTACTGTATACTAGGGAAGCAATCCATGTCAACAGGTTATGACACATAAAAAGAAATGAAGACAAGTAGGAGGAAAAGAGAAAGGAAAAGGAAAAGAAAAAAAAATTCCCTTCAAAATGTGTCAAAAGTCAATGATTAGAACTCCGAAATTATCCTAGTTTTCTCAGGATGTTACAGGCGTGGTTACTATTGTTGGAAAAAGTGTTAATGCACAAGTTAGCCTTTGAACTTAAGCTTTGGAATGGTCACTTTTCTCAAAAATAGTGATAACGCCCAACACTTAGCTTGATTATTCCTTTCTCTTTGTCTCCAAAATTGCTACTTTTCTTCTACCTTTCTCTTGATCTTCCAGCCTTATGATCTTAGCTCAGAGTTTCCTACAAAATATGTTCTAATCAGTAATTTTTATACAGGAAATTTACAAAATCTAAACAACAAAACTATTTAGAAAGAAATTGAATATTCTATCATTTTTATGAGTTTTCTAACTTTCTCAATCATATTTTCTATACCAAATGAATTAAAAACTGAGGTAAAATACTAGTAAAATATGGATTTATCATTTCCCAAATTTTAGTATACTTTTCACGCCAATTGCTTACTTGTTTTGAAAGATTTTTGTGAATTTTTTATTTGGACTTTCGGGCTTCTTCTTGCATATCCAACATATAATTACATTAGGCTAAGTTTAATAAAAAAATTTGGCTATCATTCACTCATGAACTTGCACAAAATTGTCAACATTTTAAGGCTTCTTTTGGGCTAATTCTTATTTTTTACCAATTTTGTAACTTATATTTTAATTTCTATTTCTATCTTCTCATAACTAAACATAATCCTTTTATTTCTTATTTTGGATAAATAAAAATCCATTAATTGAATTTAAAAAAATAGTTAACACTCCTAGTTAGATCTTACCATGCTTACATCCATAATCTTTCCTGAAATAAGCTTGATTTTGGATTGATTTCACTATTTGTATACCAAATTTTAATTTTCTATCTATTTTCTAATTTTTAATTTTTTTGAGATGTTAGGATTACT